TCTTGCTTAGACACTAAGTCGGACAGCTTTTTTATCATCTTCATGTTCTCTTCGTTGGTTTTTTGTATCGCCAAGAACTGGTTTTTAAGTTCTTCATTTTCTTGCATGAATTGCTCTTTTTCCTGCTTTGCTCGTTCCATATTTGCTTCCATCATGTTGTTCATCTGCTCTCGTTGAGCCCGCAGTTCACTGTCCATCTGCTCACGGAATTTCTTTCGCTCTTCACTTTGTTTTTCGCTTAACATTTCCATCTATTTTTAAGAGAAAAAAACAAAATATACATGTGGACCTGCAGTTTACTGTTCGCCAACTGACTCACATTACTTCGACTAATTTTGTCAAGTTTAGCGTAGTCCTTGACTGCCATGGGTGCTTAATTGTTAACGCGAGCTAAGTTAAAAATCAAACTCGGATCTACTGAGGGCTGGACTTGCGGCATAATGCTGGTGTTCAATCTATCGATTCAGATATGGAAGTTAGTGTCCTTAATTATGTTTTTCCCCAAACTCTACAGGTAAAGTCTGCATACGAGCCAACTTTCCCATCAGACCGGAGCTTATCCCGATTTCAGTAGCATGAAGCGACTAGGAATGTTTCTACTCCTCCCTGGATGGGATACTAGTTCATCGCAGGGTTACCCCCAGCATTAAACTCGCCGGTACCCATTTATGCACCTGGGTGGAGTGAGGCACCGTGAGAGTAGTGTCTTGTTTCTGTTCAAGAACACAGCGCAATGTCCCCGGCCAGGGTTCGAACCCGGACCGCTCAATCCGGGGATGAGTGCACCAACCATTAGACCACCGCGCCTCCCAAACTCAAAGTGTCTTGTATATTCCTCTTTGTTCGCTAGGAACAGTTTTCAAAGTCTTAGAAAATTATTGCACCATTGTGACGAAACTTGTCTTCTCATTTGAGGTTTTGTTTCTCCATATTTGAGAAATTTCATCAATTGCCTTGGAAACTCATAAAAAAGTACCTCTCTTTTCACTGCGCGGTTCTCTTGGCGTAACTGTTCCTGTTGTTCCTATTGGAAAGTTGACAAAAAAAGGAATCACTCATCACTTTTAACCTTTATCTATATTATCGTATGTAGTGTATGACAGTAATGAACAGTTATGGCTAGTTACTTAGATTCGAGAAAATAAGACAATTTATTTAACGTCAAATACACAGGGGGTGACTACCCAGTCCCCCGAGCCAGAAGCTCATGATATAGGTGTTTGACAAGCTAACAACTAAGAATAAAATACATATCAAAAGAGCTAAATACTGTTAGTGTATTTGTACAGTATATTGGTCAAGTCTAAAGGTAATAGAGGTGAAATGAATCAGTGTAATTTATATAAAATGTTCTCTCATGAAGTCTATGAATATAAATAAGATAACATTAAAGACAATTACTGTCTTGGCAGTCAATAAAATTCAACTTTATTTAATGTCTGCAACAAGATGGCACACCAGGTTCCTGTCTCCAAATACGAGAAATAATACGCGTATACGAACCGTGAAAGAACCTACTGTTCTACGTTTAGCCCTCTCCTTCTAAGGTTGCTGATGGTGCAACTTGAAGTTGGAACAAATTAGCTATATAACAAAGGCCATTTTCCTTTAAGATGATTTACAGTTCGCCTCTCTTTTGTTTTGGTTCATGTAAGACGTCACAGAATACAACATTTCGCAACCACTTACATGAGGTAAATTCATGTAAGGTTCATATCAACCGCCATTATGGATGCGAAGCTTTGGGCTTCGTTCTTTCTTATATCACTTGATGAAGCAACTTCGTAGCTGCAAAAATCAAAGAAACAGTAGGAAGAAGAATTTAAAATGCCTCAAAGGTAAGGCATGTCGTTCGTAACGAATAACATCGATTTGCATTCCGTCGTGATCGGGTGAGAATAACAAACATTGGGGTGCTGATCTGTATGAGACTGCGCAGTACGGACCGGAAATCATCTTTAAATACTTTAAAATATTATTACAGATTGTTCTATACGTCTATTTTATATTGTATTAATGCTCACCATCATAGGAGTCGACTCGAAAGGAAGGACGATTGAACAGAAGTCTTCCAAACTAATATAATTCGTTAACACATATATAATTATCCATCCACAGTACCAGCCAAGAATAAAGATGCGAGCTGTACCTCAAGTCTCTGCTTCTCTTGCTCTTGATAAGCCTTAGCTGCTAGTTCTTGCGTTAGCCTCTCA